GCACAAGCGCCAGACACTAAGACAAAAGCCCACAGTCATCCACTGATTCACACATTCACTCACCACCACCTACGTCCCAAGGGCGACCTTATCATCCAAGCCAGCCTGCGTCCACATCTTCTTTTCTTTTTAAGATGTATTTATTGGGGCCGGCACTGTGGCATAGCAGATAAAGCCCCCATCTGAAGTGCTGGCATCCCATGTGGGCGCCCGTTCAAATCCTGGCTGCTCCACTTTTCTGATCCAGCTCTCTGCTATGGCCTGGGAAAGCAGCAGAAGATGGCCTAAGTGCTTGGGCCCTTACACCAGTGTGGGAGACCTGGAAGAAGCTCCTGGCTCCAGATCGGGGCAGCCCTGGCAGTTGTGGCCATGTGGGGAATGAACCAGCAGATGGAAGACCTTTCCCTCTCTCTCTCTCTCTCTCTGCCTCTCTGTAACCCTGCCTTTCAAATGGATAAATAAATAAAATATTTTAAATATTTATTTATCTATTTGAAAGGCAGGGCTACAGAGAGGAGAGACACACAGAGAGATCTTCCAACCACTGGTTCACTCCCCACATGGCCACAAGTGCCAGGGCTGGGCAAAGCCAAAATAAGGAGCCAGGAGCTTCATTCAGGTCTCCCACATGGGTACATGGACCCAAGCACTTGCACCATCTTCTGCTGCTTTCCCAGGCGCATTAGCAGGGAGCTGGATTGGAAGTGGAGCAGCCAGGACTAGAACCGGCACTCACATGGGATCCCAGTGTCACAGGTGGCAGCCCCATACCTTTTCATTTTTATTGAGCCCTGTCCTGGACCAGCCTCTGCTCCTCTGCCCTGCCCACCCACATCTGACTTGCGCCTTTATTTTTTTAAGACATTTATTTGTTTGGCAGGAAGAGTGACAGAGAGAGAGGGAGAGACAGAGAAAGAAGAGATCTCCATGTGCTGGGTCACTCCCAAATGCCACAACAGCCGGGGCTGGTCCTAAATGAAGTCAGAAGGCTGGAACTCCATCCGGGTCTCCCACGTGGGTGGCAGGGCCCCAAGGACTTCGGCCATCCTCTGCTGCCTTCCCAGGCGCATCAGCAGGGAGCAGGATCAAAAAGAATCGGTGCTCATTTGGGATGTTGGTGTTGCAGGCGGCAGCTTAATCCACTGCACAACACTGGCCCCTGACTCACGCTTTAACCTCACTAACACCTCACTCCTCCAAGAATCTTCCTCTTGCCACACTGAAGAGTAAAAAGGACCTCAGCTGTAAAGTCAGAGGGGGTCAGCACTGTGGCCTGGCAGGTTAAACTGTTGCCTGAGGTGCCAGCATCCCATATGGATGCTGGTTTGATTCCCAGCTGCTCTACTTCCAATCCAGCTCCCTGTTAACGTGCCTGGGAAAGCAGTGTTAGATGGCCCAAGTCCTTGTGCCCCTGCACGCATGTGGGAGATCTGGATGAAGCTCCTGGCTCCAGCCTGGCCCAGCCCTGGCCATTGCAGCCATTTGGAGAATGAACCAGCAGGTGGAAGATCTTTCTTTCTCTCTCTCTCTCTCTCTCTCTCTCTGTGTGTGTGTGTGTGTGTGTGTGTGTCTTCTTTTCTCTCTCTGTAACTCTGCCTTTCAAATAAAAAATAAAGTTAGAGGGGCACAAGTCTAAAGCTTACCTGCCTGCTGAGGACAAGATATTTCTCTAAGCTTTAGTTTTCTCAACTGGAAAATAGGCAAAGCAACACCTCCATTGCCGAGTTGTAGAGAGGGTTAGAGCTCAGAGGTGTGAAACCACGGGGGACGGCACCAAGCCCACAGGAAGTGCTCAGTAACACGCGCCCCTTCTTGCCTGTGCTGATCTGTCTCGCATCCAAATTCCTTCTGCATGAGTTGGTGCACAGACATAAGCCTGCTGCTTTCTCGTTGATGGTGATTATCGCGATGGTCTCCCCTGTTGGATTCTACGGTCCTTGAGGGTAAAGGCGGCCGTTACTCCATATTATGGACCCTAACACTTGGCTGTGCATACAGCATGCACAGCTAACTTTTTTTTTTTTTTTTGACAGGCAGAGTTAGACAGTGAGAGAGACAGAGAGAAAGGTCTTCCTTCCGTTGGTTCACTCCCCAAACGGACTCCACGGCCAGTGCGCCGTGCTGACCTGAAGCCAGGAGCCAGGTGCTTCCTCCTGGTCTCCCATGGGGTGCAGGTGCCCAAGCACTTGGGCCATCCTCCACTGCCCTCCTGGGCCACAGCAGAGAGCTGGACTGAAAGAAGAGCAACCAGGACTAGAACCCGGCGCCCATATGAGATGCCAGCGCCGCAGGCAGAGGATTAACCAAGTGAGCCATGGCGCACATGGCCGGCCGCACAGCTAACTTCGATTGCACATTAGCTCAATGAAGCCCTACAAGAACCCTAGGAGTCAGTGTTACTATTGTTGTTTGACAGGCTCTGAGCAGGTTCATGACTGGTCCACAGGCACACAGCCAGAAGTGGCAGGACCTTGGAGAAACCTGCCCACCACACTCCACTCCCACCCCCACCCCCACCCCCACCCCCATCTCCTCCTGTCCCACACTGGTGGGCCATGGCAGCCACCACTATGCCACACAGCCAGGCTCCACTGGCCACAGCTGATTGGCTGGCGCAGAAGTCACCTGACCCAAGCTGGGCCAACCAGATTCCACCTCCAAGAGACCTGGAATCAGAAAGCATGACCCTAGTAGACACAGGCCACTTGAACTTGGGGAACCTGGAAATTCAGGTCTGGGGCCATATGCGGAGAGAAGCAAGAAAGTCATGTCAGAGAAAAATAAAAGAAAGAGAAATAAGGAACAACAGATGCCAGGGTCCCTTCCTCTTCCCCAAGCCTAAATTCCTGCCACTTTCCTGTTCTCCCTACAGCTTGGATCTTCAGAGATTGCTCACGTTTCGGGCAACAGCCCAGCAGCTTTTCAAATCCTTCCCATTCTTGCTTAAGCAGCTGAGCTTCCTATGACTAAAGACAGACAGGGTCAAGGACAGCACTAGCTAACTGCTACCCTCTGTGCTCACATTGTGGTCCAGGGGTCCTTCAGGCCCCGAGACCCTTTCTGAGGTTCTACAACATCAAAACTAATTTCATAGCAGTAGTAAAACTATTTGTCTTTTTATTCTCATTCTATTACAGCATATGATGGAATATTCCAGAAGCTGTATGATATGTGATTATGCCTTGCTGTGTGCTTATGT